AGTGCAGGGTGATTTCTTCGATTTTTCCCTAGCTATATGGCTTGTTCATCTAGATCTCAGGCAATTTTTCCTTGTTGTTTGCTCCTTGTTTCTGTCGCACTTTGATTTGGTCACCAGAAGGATGAACAGAGCCTCTATCATTTATGCCATTTTTTTTCCCACTCCCAACATTTGATCATTTTTAATCGATTGAATTAAATTATTTCACATTCATGATCCTCCTGAAAACTATCTGGGGAGAAAAAGAGTACGACTAGTTGGAATATGATGAATGAGTAACCTTAGCAAACTGAACTGGCCTCCCAATATTGCCTCCACTTCTGACTTCTGAACCTGGTGTCCATGATGTATCAGTAACATTCCAGGTACTGTCCTAGGCTCCTTACACAAACGTTTTCCAATCCTTACTGCTGATCTTAGGGCACAAGTAATTTGCCCAGCTGATTTGTGGTACGGCTGGGATTCGAAGCCAAGTTTATCTGACTCTACCACACTTCCAGAATCTGTGGTCAGTTTTCCAAACCACCAAGGGCAACTCTGGGGGTTCTGTCAATACCCAGAGCCTAGATCTCCACAGCACTGTAGGTGGGTGGGATGAGAGCCAAGAAAAAAAATTCCTCTGAAGTAATCAATATCAGAAACTATGGTGAAGCACGTTGCTTCCAAATCCAGGAAGCTTCTAGAAGCAGCCAAGAAAATTAGAATCTACATGCTCCAGGTATTAAAATTGAGCAATGAATCTAAAAGGAATTTAAAACATTTAACATTGGCTTTCTCATTTCTTAGTGTTAACTTTCCATGTAAATCGATAACTAGTTATCTACAGTTGGCATATGCTGCCATACGGTAAATGGTAAATGGTAATGGGGACAAGACAGCTAGAAGGGCAAAAAAAGTGGAAAGTATTGTCTATTTGTGGGAAGACATCACAAGTATCTAGAAAATAATGTGCAAACGTCACCTTTGACAGTACCATTTGCCTTGAATGATAATGAAGTTGTGGTATATAAATAAAAGGGAGTATTATTCAGCCATGAGAAAGAAGGAACTGCCATTTGCAATAACATGGATGAAACTTGAGGGCATTATGCTAAGTAAAATAAATCAGAATATCACTTATATGTGGAATCTGATTTTTAAAAAAGTCAAACTCAGGGTCAGGCCTGGTTAGTACTTGCATGGGAGACCACCTAGGAAGACCAGGTGCAGTAGGCGTAAAAAAATTAAAAAAAAAAAAAAAAGGAATTGTAAGCTGACAAGGTCCTTGCAATGTGAGGTCAACCAAGGGTTGCCTTACCTGGAAAAAAAAAAAAAGTCAAACTCATAGAAAGTAGAAAAGGGAGAGTGGGGGAAATGGGGAGAAATCAGTAAGAGTACAAACTTTCAGGTATAAGATGAATTAAGTCTGAGGATCTAATGTACAACATAGTGACTATAGTTACAAGACTATTATATCATTGAATTGCTAAGAGAGTAGAACTTAAATGTTATCACCAAAAAAAAGAGAGAGAGAGAGAGAGAGAGAGAAATATGTGAGTTGACTGACGTATTAACTAGATGGCGGGAATCCTTTCACAATGTATATCAAAATCACCACGATGCACTTTAAATATCTTACAATTTTGTCAATCATATCTCAATAAAGCTGGGGGGTACAGGGGGAATACCATTTGCCTCTTTCGTCCATGGCGTTGTCCATGGCGTTGTCACTGATGTTCTTATGGTTTAATTATTCAGCCTTTACTGAGGACAAACTCTTGGCCAGGCCCCATTCGAGCAGTTGTGAGTACTGTCCCTGCTCATAAGCAGCAACTTGTCTGGTAGAGCTCAGTGTTATTCCCTCAAATCATGCAAGTATCCTGGCCTCCTCAGAGCTCCAAAAACACCAATACCTACTCTCAGACTAACATCCTCTTGTGTCGTAGGTCCTCCACCTGGAATCCCCGACTCCAGCTACCATCAAGCCCAGTCATTGAACAAATCTAAGCTCTATCTACCCTGATGCTCCAGGGCCTCCTACTTGATTCCAAAGCAACGGCTTCAAAACAATGTTCCATTAAGGTGTATTCCAAGAAATTACTAATAATCAAGTACCAAAAGGATTTGTTTTTCTGTAAATTAGACACTACACGTTATTCTTACATAATAGGCATTGTCTCCATCTCCTATCCACCCTTTCCTCTGGTTCCCTTTAGAGAACTACCTCTCTTCAAACACAGACCATATGGCTGAAGTGGGATGAATTTCGCTTTTAGTTCCAGGATTGGCAGGTGGCTCGGGCCTGGTCGATCAGAGCCCTACATTCTCATGGCCATAACAACTAGCCATGAACTGGCACAGGAACCAATCAAGGAAAATGAGACCACTGCAGTTGGCAGGCAGGTAGGTCGTAAGCTTGGATCTGCTACCAGGGAGGGCTTGCCCAAGTATGAAACCCACATAGTTCAGCAGAGCTGAGTGACAGAAACATTAATCAAGCTTCTTGATCCTGCCAGAATGACTTCTGGAATTTTCAGTTACTTACCCAGCCCAAAGCAGGTAAGCATTGCTCACATCTGGCAATTGCTCACACAATGAACATTCCTCCCCTTCTGACTACAGACGAAAAGCAATGTGGGCAATTATATGTAATATATGTAATAAAAGGGTGTGTGAAACCAGTTCCTTAGTGTACAGAAAGATACCTTTAGTTTGAGATCTTCAAAAATCATTATTTGAAATGTGTGAAAATTGTGTTTGTAACTAATGATTTTAGTTTAATTTAGGATGCTCAAGTCACTGGGGTTTCAACTTGGACACATTTTATCTCAAAAACAAAAGTGTGATCCTACATTTTGTCTGTCCATCTTTCTTTGGGGGAAGCAATGACAATTTATAACAATCTCTGAGGAAACTGCCAAGACAGAGATCCAGGTATGGTATCTGCTTGAGAGGCTTCCAAAAGAAAGGTGGTCAGAAAGCTCCTCTTGAGCTATGTGACACTTGCAGAAACCACCAGTCACCAGATCCAATAACTATGAGTTATCCAGCTGGCTGTAGCTGAGTGATGTGCAGCTTCAAAGTCCAAGGCATGGTTCCCAAGGGCCCTCTGACTACTTAAGCCCTGAAAGCATCCCTGCAGACCTGTAGAGAAAGCCTTGATGTGAAGGACTGGCAGAATGCCGCTTGAGCTGCCCCTCTTGTGGAATGAGTCCCAGATCAAACCTTCCAGGCAGGTAGCCTGAGCTCCAAAGGGACTCACAAAATCCATACTGCCTCCCTTCCCTCTATCTGGTACCATGCAGTTATCCTGCAGTTAGTTAATCTTTTCTTGCCCCTTTCCTATATCTTAGCAGCCAGGAAGTTGAGTTTGTATGTTGCAGCTGAGTTTTATGTGCACATGCAAGTAACTGTGCCAGCTTTTAAGGTGCATGGTTTTTAGAAATGTGTGTAAATAAGTCTTCACAGCCCAAAGTTCTAGTGTAATCTATCAATTCTAGGAGAAAAATGACCAAGAATGGAGTAAAGCAAGCGTCCAGGAATTAAGCATGGCTATCAGAAGCCACAAAAAGTAAATGCAATGCTGGAGAGAACAGGAGGGTGTGGTAGAGCAAGACGGCCAGATGTTCAGCTAGGCCATGGCTGTGGTGGCCATCTGGAGCCAATTTACTAGATGAAGCCAGAGTCTCCACAGGACTCACATGCCACACTCACAGTTTGGAGGCCAGCTGATTCATATCCTACTGCCTCATACTAGCTCTGACCACAGGCAAGCAACTGAACCTCTAAGAGCTTCATTTTATAGGATAGAGTTGTGGTAAATAAGATTATGTATACAAAATGCCTTTGCCTGGTGCATTTTGTTCAAAAATGATGGTAACTGTGTATCGGAAGCAGCAGCATTTAGGCAGGACTCCTGCTCTGAAAGGGTTATCCAAAGAATTGGCCATTTGCTACCACCAGAATCACGTCTCATTTTTTCAATAGTAAACACATTGCTATTAATTGGTCACCTCGTGGGACTACTAAAGCCTAAGGACAAAGTGCGGGACTAACAGAAGTGAAGGGAGGTTCTCTCTTGTATAGTCACATTAGATAAAACCTCCATTAGTTTGCCCATACTTGTTTTTCTCTTCCCCATTAACTTGCAGAGACAGGTACAATAAATAATGAAAGCGAAACCTCTCTACACAATGTCTATTGAAAGCATCTTTCTTGCACAGCTTAAAAGTGTATGTTAGCATATTGTGCTTGAAAATGGATTAACAAACACACGTTCAACATGTTTAAAGACAAGCCATCCACATCTTGAACTTTTTGTATTTCAAAATGGTACAACCAACTTAATAGATGTCAGGTTGTAAGGCCTGTCTTAATAAAGTTTTAGAGACTGCAACACCTGTACATACTTTCCCCATTACCTTTCAAGCATTAAGTGCTGACTGACTGAAGCTAGAAATAAAAATAGCTTTACTTTCAGCCACTTCCTGTTTTTTTGTGCCACTGAGATGTGATTTTAGACCTCTCATCATTAATGGCCTATGACCTAAGAATGGAAAAACGGTTTCTTTGAGTCATAAAATATTTGCAGCATTGGTAGATATGACTAAGCTGAACCACATAGGTATATAACCACTGAAGCCTCACCTTAGAAATAAATCAGGCCAGACGGAAATAAAAGAAATTATGCTTCACCTTTCACTGCAATATTAATGTTTACAATGGTACACCTCCACCCCTCCCTCCTGATTTCGGTGCTCTTCTGTGCTCTTATAGCATCCTATATATACATTATTCTATCAGAACTAATCTTACTGTCCTGCAATTGTTGGTTTAAACACCTGCCTCTGCAGAAAACTTGAGGGAAAAAAGCATACCGACAAAACTGTAGTTCCCAAGGCTCAACATGGTGCCAATAGATGTACTACATGTATACAAATAAAGTGAATGTAAGAAGTGCAATTACTTTAAAGAATTCACAAGACAGGAGACTGCATTAAAAAAAATCAAAGAAGTAAACATCAAATTTAATGTAAATTTTAAAAAATCAAATTGTCTGAAAAAGCAATGGAGCAAATCAACTCTTAAAAAAGAGTGTTGAATCTTAGTGATCACATTTATTGGAAGAGTTGGAGAAAAATAAAAATGCCATTTAGCTTAAGAACTGGTGAGTTATCAGCAAATCAACTCATTTCAGGAGTGGAAGAATCCTTGGTCATTTCTTAATATCAAAATTTCTGGTTTCTCTTTTGAATATCTTCTACATTTAAAGAAGCAACCATACAAAGTCTCCTATTTTCCACACAGGATAAATTCTTTGCTTCAGCCAACTCTCAATGGAGGGGCAACTAATACAACACCATCTCCCCGGACAAAGAGCATCGGAATATTCCGTTTTGTTGACTGGAGGAGGGAAAAAAAAAACAAAACAGAATACATTTATACAAATATGTAATAGAACTTTTTTTTTTTTGCCAAAGAAATTCGAAAACAAAAATCCAAACATGGACTCATAGTAACACAAACTGATTTAAAAACCTGATCACTTACCTTTGCAGCACAAGAACCAATCTATTAACTATTTTTCCTAGATATCGACAACTGGTATAGATATTAACCACTGTCACCACGATAAGCTGAATAAAAATGAAAGAAAACAAACACACACACAAAACACAACTGGGGCAGAAACTGGAGCTATCCACCAAAATCCATTCTCCTCTTCCTGGCACACAGATAGACTACATTTCCCATGCTCCCTTGCAACCAGATATAATCTTAAGATTGGCTTGTAACCAATAGGAAATAAACAAAGGTGACTGATCAACCAATAAACCTCCCATGAATGTCCCTCTATGGTCATCCCCCTACAGCTGGATGAACTCAGATAATGGTGAACTTGGGGAATGGCAGAGCCCCAAGACAGAGGAAGCCTGAGTCCCTGACTGAGCACCTGGAAGAAAGCTATTGTGCTGACCTAAAACCCAACTTGTGACTGTTATGGGACGAGAAATAAAATTCTATTGTGCTGAGCCATTACCTATTGTTTCTATGTGCTACTGCACACACACATATATGGAATGAATACCCTGGGGCGTTAGCCTAGGGATCAAGCCTTGGGCAGTAAGGAAACGGATATGGAATGTTTGAAATCCTCTTATGCCTCAACAAAACATTAGGTAAAACTGCCTGCAACTACTTGGAAAGTAGCCCAAGGACCTCCCAAACCTATAGGTTCTGGGGAAGAGATTGGAAAAGCCAAACGTTAGTAACTGTTGCTATTAACCTGATGCCCTCAGCAAGGAGTATAAGAAAGTGATGAGCTCAGGAAAACACTAGCTGGTTTTCAAGCACAGGTTACAAGAAATAGGATTCAAAGGTTAGAAAAGCCAACTGTTTTTAGGCCCCAAACTACAGACAATAAGTAGGAAAAAAAGTTTTCAGGAATAAAGCCCAATAAAACTTCTCAGTTAAACAAACTCAGCCCTAAGGCAAAGATCACCTAGTTGCTATAAAGACCTACGAGAGCGCATTCACAGTTCTCCCAGTTCACATACGGTTTACCAACCAGGGGCCATTTTCACCATAAGCAATGTTTCCTACTAAAACAGCTAACATTCCACTT